CTGAGGACGTCGGCGATCGGCTCAGTCACTGCGAATGTGGACCGAACCGCTTTTCTCGCTGGACACCTCGAAATGGTCTCTCGATGGTTGGCCCTCTCGCACGACGCAGGGTTGCTCGTCGGTTGACGTCTGTCGCTCGTGGATAATGTTACTGACCGCCTCGATGGCAGGCCCTTCACCACGGCGATGCGATGGGGTGTCCCTGCCGCTGCAGGGGACCTTCATACGCATCCGTGAGGTACTGGTCGTGGGGTCGCCGTGGCTGATGTAGGTATCCCACATCCTGCCTCAACTCTCGGTCGCTCGGTCCCAGCTGGTGCTGGTGTCGTCGTGCCCTGTGGCACTGTTTAGTTTGGCGGTGGCGGTAGCCGTCGTGTGTTCACTACGTCGTCCGGCATTCCATTGCCCTGACTGTGGGATGTGCTTGGGTTTGCATGCCGTCTGAACGGCGTCATGGCAGGTCCCCTTTGGTTGGTCAGGGCCTTTTGGTCTGACCATCTGAATTACGTCCTCCACATGTCGCTGGAGGTCGCGAACGTACTGTTGCGGTGGGTCATGCCGGTCTGGGTAACTAGTAGGTAGTGCTGCGCCAGACTCACCACGTGCAGCGTCTTCCAGAAGCGGTCCAACGCCGCTGTGTGACCGTCAACAGGAGTCCGTTGGGTCCCCAGCGGCCTCGGCTTCGTCGTCGGTCGTAGCCTTGTCGGTGGGGGCGTAGGCCTCGGGGGTCACCGCGACGATCATGTGGGGCTCGTTGGGATCGACTGTGGCCCTTTTGGTTCTTCGTGCGCTTAAGCTCCGTGTTGTCGGCGCTGGGTGTTTCCGTGATGGTGGCGCCGATGATCCTCTGCCAGGCGTGCCAGTGAAGCTTCTGAATGGGTCTACTGCTTGTGGCGTCGTCTGCTCGGTCGGGGTGCTGTTAAGAAGGACAAACAATAGTCAAAACGAGTACCCCAGACCAGCCGAATTGTAATCGAAAAGTCGTCCCCACACTCGGCTTTCCAACGCTCCAAGACGGCCCAAGAAGCCCCCAAGACCGCCCCAAGACGGCCCAAGAAGCCTCCAAGAGGGCCCCCAGACGGCCCAAGATGTCCTCCCTCCTCTTCGCGGGGGACGGCGTGTCGATGCCGATGGTCACAGCGGCATGGTCGGGTGCCCGGTGTTGCTGGCCTGGCAGTGTGGAGAGCCCAGTGCCCACGCTGGTGGTGTTGGCCTCGGTCATGTCGGTCTGCTGGGGTTCTGCTGGTGGCGTAGCCGTGTCTCTCTGCGTCCTTGGCGGCGCGAACACGTGGTGCTGTCCCCGGTCAGGTTCGACTGGTCGCGATGCAAGTGTTGCGTGGACGTCGGCTTCTCGGACCATCTCGCTGGACTGAGTCTGGGTCTGCTGTGTTTCTCCTTCCTCCAGTGGGTGTTCCAGTGGTGGTACGGGTGGGAATCCAGCAATAGCAGCGGTGGCGAAGTCCTCGTCATCCGTGCCGATAGGTATGTTGAGAGCGTCGCTGATGGCATCGACCATCTCGACACTGTTGAGGCGCTGCTGGGCGATGAGAGTTGCATGTCGGGCGTACTGGAATTCCCCGTAGCTTCCTCGGTCCTCTTCGCGTGGGTCCCCTTCATGACTCTCCACTAGGTCTCCTTGTGCCAGTACGCTTGTATCTCATGTTGGAAGGTTTCGTATTGTTCTGCTGTGCCCATCGCAGTTCGCTGTAGTGTGAGCTGAACGTATCCTTCAGCTGGTAAAGCTTTGCAGTTCATTTGCTGCTCGTAGTTGAGCATGTCGGTGATGACACTTTGGGGATATCCTTCTTGCTGCTTTGCGCTCTCAGCGTCCCTTTTACGCATGTGGTGCTCGATGTTGGCGAGTCTTTGCTGGTACTCCTCGTTGGTCGTGTGAATGGTGGCCTCCATGCGCCTGTTTTGTTCCCGTAGCTCTTCCTTCGCTTGTCGGTTTGTTTCTTTTGCATCGCCCCACTTCTGGTACAGGACGTTGAAGTCGTTCTGGTCCTCGATCCTGGATTTGGTTGTTTTGGCTTCGATGTTGGCGATCGAGAGTCATGTTGTAGTATGTTTTTTTTTCTGCGATTGTTTCTGCCACCCGTAGATTCTTCTCTATGTTGGCCCTCGTGTCTTTGCTGTCGGTGAGCTTATTCTGCATTTCTTGGGGTTCTTTCTGTAGTTGACTGTCGGCTGTTGTGTGCGGCTGCTATCACATATCTCTTGTTGATCTCCGCATGGCTTCCAGCTCCTCCTCCGCCCTTGTAAGCTTCTCCGCGTTGGCGGTCTGCATGTGCTCGTGGTGTGCCATCATATTTTCTGTCGCCTGATTAGAGTTTTGTATCTCGTTCTTGAGCTCGTTATGGTACTTCATGGCTTTAGTCGCTTCGTGCTGTTGATTATGGTCGTGTTTCTGTGTTGCTGCTTCCGCTGTTCGGAGGTGTCTTTTGAGGTCGTTGATCTCGTCGCTGGCATCAGCCTTGTTTTTCTGTTTTTCTCGATGTCGTTGGCCATGCGCTGGTTGTCTTCCTTCATGATCCTGATCATGGTGCCGACGTCCCGTCCGCCTGCGGTTTCATCTGCCCTCGTTTGCCTCCTTGGAGCTGGGGCTGGTGTAGGCGACCTTCTTTCGGGCGTGTTCCTTTGTGGTTGATCTGCTTCGTCATCCGAAGCTCCTGTGTCACTGTAATGGTCGTCCCTGGCGTTGCTGATGTCGCGCTGGCGGGTAGTGATCTCCTCGATGTTGTTTTCAAGCTCGTTCATGTATATCGTTATTTGTTGCCGGTGGATCTTGGCATGCGCGCAGTATTCCTCCAGGGTTCTTTTGGCTCCGTCGATCTCACTCGCCTGGTGTGCCAGGGGCATGCTGTTGAGGACCATTGCTTTGGTGAAGATAATCTGTGTGACTGCGTCGGTAGTAGGTAGTCATGCTGCGCTGTTCTTGACGATGGTTGCTGCCGCTCTTCGTTCCTCCGCATGTTTTATCCGTTTCCAGTCGTGTCTCAGCTTGTGGTCGTTTGGCGGTAGCTCTCAGTCGTGCCTCTTGACGGTGTAAATTTGCCTCATGGCTATGACGTTGTTGATCGTGTTTGTGATGTGGTCGCTGTAGTCCTGGCCGTCGTCCTTCTTCTTGGACGTCTTTTCCTTGTCGAGGTGGGTCTTGCCCTTTCCCTTCTTGTTCTTGTCCTTGCCCTTTTGGTTGCGGCTGGCGGGTTCTTGGTGGTCGGTCCTCCCCTGGCCGTCCTGGTGGTTGCCTTTCCCCTTGTGGCTCTGGCTCCAGGACTTGTCTGGGTGGTTGTTGGCCCACTGGTCCGTCCAATTGTAGTTCCTCCAGCGCTCGAGTCCTGCACCAATAGATGGTGTTGTGGGCCTCGGTGGTGTAGCACTGGATCGTGGTCGGCCCGATGCTGATCTCCACGGTGGTGGCACGGTTCCCGATCCAGTCGCGGTCGCTCGCCATGATGTCGCCATGTTTGGAGCTTGAGGTGGATGTCGTGGTGGTTTTTGTGCACTGTGGTGAGCCTGTAGTAGCTGGTGTGCTGAGTCGAGCTCGTAGTGGGTGTGCTGATCGAGTAATTCGCGTGCTGATGCTACTCGTAAGAGCATGCGTGCTGCATTTTTCTTTTCTCGTTCCCTGCGGTGCCAGGCAGGGTTGTTCGACATGATCGTCGTGTGCTGGTTGGTGTGGGCGTAAGACATGGTCGTCGAATCCGATGTGATGCTTGGCCAAAATGGCCCTGCAAGTGGTGCTGTGCTGGCGTAGATGCTGTCCTGGATGTAGTGAGGTCGAGGACAGATCGCCTGATGTACCTCAGAATCCTGCGGGTGGAGGGGGAAGTAGCCGAAAAGGAATGCAAGACTGCAGATGGGAAAAGCATGTCTGAAGTAGACGGGTAAACAGGATTGTGTTTCCGTTTGCGGCTGGCCCTCTGTGGGCGTGCACGCCTGGCCGCGGCTTTTTGGACCCGCGGTTCCTCCTCCTCCTCCTCCTCCTCCTCCTCCTCCTCCTCGTTTCACTAGCAAGTCAATCCGTCGGAGGTCTGGACCGTACGCCTCCTCACCACTGGCACCGCGGGGGTCGGCGGACATGGTCGCTTCTGGCAGGGCCGCCGTGTTTGCGTCCTCGGCGGAGGCGGTCGGTGCACGGCCGCCCGCCGGGGCATCCGCCCGCAGAGGTGCCGGCGGCATCCCACAGGTGCGCGGCGGAGGAGGAGGGGGAAGACGAGGAGGAGGAGGAGGAGGAGGAGGAGGAGGAGGAGGAGGAGGAGGAGGGAAGAGCAGGAAAGGGAGAGGGGGAGGAGGAGGAGGAGGAGGACGAGGAGGAGGAGGAGGACGAGGAGGAGGAGGAGGACGAGGAGGAGGAGGAGGACGAGGAGGAGGAGGAGGAGGAGGAGGAGGAGGAGTCAGACCCAGGGCTGGACCTAAACGGTGTTTTTGGTAATTTCGTGGGCCGCTTTCGTTTCGATCTCGTCTTGCGGTGGAGGCGGGCTCGAGACGGGAGCGATGGAGAACGAAGACGAGACGAAAGCGAAAGACACCGTTTAGGTTCAGCCCTGCCTCAGACCCGGACGCGGTTGGTTTGGGACAACATGTGTCGGGGGCGGCAAAGAGGGGGGTGATGACTAGGGAAGGGTGGATATCATGGCCGGGGCCATGATATTTCCCCTGATTTCATGGTGCCTCTTCTTATTCCATTACGTCCCTGCCCCCCCCCGCTGGGCCGCGCACATGCCGCCGGTCATGATTTGCACCCCCCCCTCTTGGACACCCCCCTCTTGGCCGCTCCCGAATTTGTTGTTGGGCATTGTGCCCATGTTTTCCGTGCCCACTTCGGGCGTCCAAAACTCAGAGCCGGACGTCGCCACAGAAAACATGGCGAGCATTGCGGCACTGCGGCTCCGTTTTGTGGGCTTCGGGCTGCCGCGGGGCCCTCCCGGATCGGTCCGGCTGGAGAGGGATTCAAGCAGGAGAGGTCGACGGTGCTGGCTGTTTTCTCTTCGCGACGTCGGGCATCGAAGTAGCCGGGAGTCTCTCCTGTAGTCTCCTCTCTGCTCTTCCCCCCCTACTTTCTGCCTGGAGGGAGAGCGGAAGGGGAGTAGCGTGCGCTCTGTGTGCACATTTGGCCTCCCGACACAGGGAGCCCATCGCACGCGCGAGCGGGTTGGCGCCTTGTCCAGAGGCGGCGTGTTCGGCCAGATGGTGATGCTGGGCGTGGCGGAAGTCAACCTAGTCACGGTCGAAGCCGAGACGCTCAGCACGATGTGGGAAGTCCCAGGTAAGAGTGCCGTGCCATTGGTCGCGCGCTTCAGAGGTGCACGAGAGCATTTCAGGGGGCTGGTGATGGATCACTTGGCAAGCACCGCAGTGCCTCGCATGTCGTCGTTGCCTGTTTTCTGCAAGCTCAGCCACACTATTCGGGAGGAGCTGGGCACGTTGTGCACGCAGCACGTTTATTTCCCAGGCCAGGCCATCGCGGAGGAAGGCCAGTCCGGCTCCGGCTGCATGCACGTCATGAACGCCGGCAGGGCGGAGGTGACCAAGAAGGGCGTCAACATCAAGACGTGCTTGCCTGGCAGCTTCTTCGGTAGTGCCGTCATGCTGCGCGTCGGCGAGGGCGTGTACGCTGGCACCCTGACGGCGAGGTCGACGTGCCACGTGCTGAGCCTGTCCGCGGATGCGTTCCAGCAGGAGCTTGGCTTGGGGAACGTCCGTTACCGCCACCCCCCTCTGCCCACCTTCCTCCCCCCGTCCCCCCCCGAACGGCCACGATCACCCGGGAGGGGTTCCTCCCCTCACGAGGCAACTTATTGCGATGGCCTGGCCGCGCGCTGTGCATGCTGCTGCGCTCGCGCACCATCGGTGCGCTCGCAGGCATGATACGGCGCGCGCAGGCGTACTCTGGTGCTCAGCACGCGGATCGGTGCGTCTAGCTTCCTGGCGAAGCCAGAAGGGCGTGCACACCGATCCTGGGGCATGGGTGGGCCCGGCCGGTATCAGTGCAGGTGTATGCCTGGCGCCTCCAAGGGTGGGCGCGGCTGGGCGCCAGTCGGAGAACAGCATAAACACGTACACATGAGCTTTCGAAGGTCCACGCGGAGTTCTTGGGTCGGCGTTGGACCCCCATGGTCAGCTCAGGGTAGCGGGTGCCGCCCGCGGTGGAGAATGTACAGTCGGGCCGCTGAAGAAGGAACCCTTTTCGTTTGGGAGGAGCTCCGTGTTCCTCAGTTGTTTTACGGTATTCTTTTGGTTTTTCCTCAGGTTTCCCACGGAACATCGGAGTTCGACTTATGGGAAAAAGCGGCCTCGTTCCTTAGGCCAGCGCCCCGACTGGAAAAGCTCGGCCTCTCTGGAGGCGCTGGCGCGGCAGCACCCGCCGGAGGCGGGCGAGCAGCAGCTGCGGGCGCAGGCGAAGCGCCGGGAGCACGACCTGCTGCGCGCGGCGCAGATGCTGGCCCTCGAAGTGCCAAGCAGAAGCTGTGCAGACACACCTCTCCGAGGATATTCGAAGAAGAGGATCTTCGAGGATCTTCGAGACACACCTGTCAGATCTTCGAGGATCTTCGAGGATCTTCAAAGAAGAGGATCTTCGAGGATCTTCGAGGATCTCAGACACATATGTGCAGACACACCTCTCCGAGGATCCTCGAGTCGACGAGCGCGTTCCACTGCTCGCAAAGTGCCTGCTCGCAAGCGTCCGAAAAGCCCACGTTCGCCTCGCTGTAATTAATGTATCGTAAGTCCCCCACGGCGGATGCGGACGTTTGCGAGTAGTGACTCTGCGAGTAGCGGAACGCGCTTGTCTATCGAAGAAGAAGAAAAAACGCCATACAGATAATTGTTTGGCGCTCTGCGCGGATTCCTTGCATCGGCGTCTGAGGCCCCTTGGCGGCGCCTCCAGCGCCGCCTCCGGCGCCACCCCTGGCGCGCTCCGCGAGCCAACAGGCCCCGCGATCAGTCCGGGGCGGCATCGGCACCACAGCCCGAAAGCGGCGCCGGGGTGTTGAGACCGCCCAGGGCAGCTCGGGCGGCGGTGCGGGTGTTAACACCCGACGCTATGATTTTTCGATGCACGGCCCCAGGTGTCCCACTCCACTCCCTGGGGCAAGTGTTCCGCCCTGGGCTCCTTCTTGACGACCCCAGAGCCCAGAAACTGTCCCTCGAGGCTGAAATCGCGGATCGACAGAAAGGCACACATTTGGAGGAAGAAAAATTGCATAAACATAAACTGTTGGAGGTCCGCGCAGAGTTCGTGGATCCGCGCTGGGCCCCACTCCCTGAGGCCAGCTAGGGCTGCCCAGGGGGGGCACGTCTGTGCGCAGCCCGAGGCAGTTCCGAGTTTCGAGATTAGCGTGGGGGTGTCCCCCAACCTCGGGAGAAGAGAGCTGTGTACAAACACCAATCCCGGCCAGGCCCATTCTGGGCTCAGGATCGGTGTATGTATGCCTCCCTCGCCAAGCTAGGAGAGCGTGTGCACCGATCCTGGGCCCAGGATGGGCCTGGCCAGGATCTGTTCATGGTAGGTTCATGCGGTGTTGGCGCGCCGGCGACGCGGGCGAAGGCGTTCAAGGTTGAATTCTGCGACGCGGAAACACCGATGGACGGTGACGCCACTGGGCCCGACGGACTGCAGCCTGGAACGATCGGGGCCGCGATCGACTCGATGCTGGCGATCGACGCGGTGTCAGAAATCTTTGTGCGCGCGTGCGCGAACCTTCCGTGCGTGCACAGTCCCCCCCCTTGTCTGCCAGCCGGCGTGGGTCGAGCGCACCACGTGTCGGCGCGCCGCGCCCGGCGGGCCAGAGGGGTATCTCTCACTCCTCCGTTCGCGCCCGAATTGCGGGGACGTTTCCCGCGGTTTGCCTGTGTTGGTTCCCATCATCCTCCGCTTCCGGAGCAGATTCTGAGGATGTCGCGGGCGACGCGTTGTTTTCCGCACCCTTGGGGGCACAGATTGCGAGGACGTCTCGAGCGGCTTGCTTGTGTTGCTGGCCAGATTCGTTCGTGTTCAAGGCAGATTATGAGGATGTCTCGGGCGAGGCGCTGGCTTTCGCACCCCAGGGGTCCCAGACTGCGAGGACGTACAATATTCATTTGTGCTCAAACCTACTCGTGCTCAGACTCACTCATACCCAGACTCGTACTCATCAGACTCATACTCGGACTCACTCACACCCAGGCTTGCGCACACTCAGATTCACTCACACTTCTACCCGCCCACCCTCAGACTCACTCGTAGTCAAACTCGCTCGTCCTCAGACCCATTCAGATTCAGTTTCATATTTATCATACTCATTCTCGCATTCAATCGCGCTCACATTCAGGCGCGCTAACACTCATAATCATTTACACTCAGGCCCACCCGCCCTCACATTCACTCGTGGCCAGACTCACTCGTACTCAAACCAATTCAGACTCAGACTCGTAGTCGTTATACTCACACTTGTATTCGCTCATACCCAGACTTACCCACAGATAGAGTCAATCTCACTCACACTCACCTATATCCAGATCTACGCATTCTCAGACGCACTCGTACTCACACTGTCTCATCCCAAGACCCAGTGGCACTCACACTCAACCATACACGGGTTCATTCACATTCAGACTCATTCACATTCAGATCTTTCATGTTCAGATTCGCCAAGTCTTCTCCTTTTTGGTGGTCCAATGCCCCCTCGCTCTTCCATTTGTGCTTCACTCATCTCTCCTGGAATATGCTTGCCGAAATCACCGAAGTCGTCGCTGTCGCCGTCGTCGTCGTCGCGCCCGTCGCCCACGCCGACCTCGCTCTCACACCCAGATGCTCACAGGCAGAGTTTTTCAACGAGAAGAGGCGGGAATATGAGATGCACACCTGGAGAGCCCCACGCAGGGATGAATTGTTCTTCCAACGTCCGCCTGTAGGCGGACATGCCCAAGCCAAGGCAACAATTGGGGGGGCTGGGGCGCGAACGGGGGACCGCGAGCCGCGCACCCGCGGGGGCCGCGGCCGCGCAGCCCGCGAAAACGGGGGGTGGCCCAGGCGTCTGTCGGCGGCGAGCCCGGGGGGGGGGGAGCGAGGAGGGGCACAGGGGCAACGATAGGAGGAGGGGGGCAGGCACAGGAGGAGGACGAGGAGGAGGAGGGGGGGGGAGGGGGGGGGAGGGGGGGAGAGGAGGGGGCGGCGAGGAAAGGCAGAGCAGGAGGGAGGCGGAGGGCGGAGGATCGGATCGGACTGGACACCCAGACATCCGACGGTGCGTTTTTATCCAATTGAGGGGGAACGATGGGGGGATAGGTATGGGGGGAACGCATCGACACCCCATCGCCCATGGATCGCCGATATAGGGCCTGATAGCCCCATCCCGCCCACGAGCGTGCGGATTTGCTACCCAGGGCCTGGGGATGTAATTCCCTACCTAGGCTCTGCCTAGAAGAGTTCTTACTCTCTAGCTTAAAGGGGCCGGGCAGTGGAAAGCGCCCCGGGCGGTTCCCCCAGTCCCCTGGGAGCGGTTCCCCCCAGTCCCTGGGAGCTTTAGCTTTAGCTTTAGCTTTAGCTTAGCTTTAGCTTAGCTATAGCTTAGTAGCTTAGCTTTAGCTTAGCTTAGCGTTTCGCTTAGAGCAGCTTGAGCTTGAGCTTAGCTTGAGCTTAGCTTGAGCTTAGCTTTAGCTTAGCTTTAGCTTAGCTTTAGCTTAGCTTTAGCTTAGCTGTAGCTTAGCTTTAGCTTAGCTGTTGATCAGCTTTAGCTTAGCTTTAGCTTAGCTTTAGCTTAGCTTTAGCTTAGCTTTAGCTTAGCTTTAGCTTAACTTTAGCTTAGCTGTGGCTTAGCTTTAGCTTAGCTTTAGCTTAGCTTTAGCTTAGCTTTAGCTTAGCGTTACTGTTGCTACTAATGCTGCTTTCCTAGGAGTTCCAACTCCTAGGTAGGGTCGCACTGGCAGCACTGGGATAATGTTAATAACAACGGCGAGTTCGTGCATCAATTTATTCATACATTAATCATGCATTAAGCATCCTATACTTTTCAAAATCCTATAGATTAAAAACTGCCCTGTAGGGTCGGCGTCGGATCGTCCTCCCTGGGCGCGAAGCGCGCAAGGGGCGGCGCCTGAGGTGTGATCAGGGGGGCCAGCGCCGATCCCCAGAAATCAGCGCGGAGCTCCGACCGTTTTTACGTTTTGGTGCTCGGCGGCGAGCGAGGGGGGGCAATGAGAAGGAGAAGGCCTTCTCAGAAGGCGGTGGGACTGCTCCGAAACGCGCGCGCGCCTCCTGAGAAGTGTTTTCCTGTCTTGGGGGGAGGTCAAGAAAACCTTGCAGAAGGCCGGGAAACTTCCGAGCCTTCTGAGAAGGCCCGCCCCGTCTCACTCCCCCCCGTGCTCGCCGCCGGTATGCGATATGCAGTCTTGCTGTTCCTCCAGGTCTGGAGGGTGACGAGCATGGCCTCCGGCGACGTGGTCATCTCGTGTGGCGAACACGTCCACGCCCTCGCGGTCTGGACACCGAGGCGGGATCCCACGGACGCGCGATCCCCCGGGTACGCTCCGCGCGGGGCAGCCGTGCAAAGTTGTCCCGCCGAGGCCCAGGGGACCGTGGCCGAGGAGCCTGGACCGTGAGGTGACCCAGACATCCAACGATGCTTTTTTGTTGTTCCCCCCCGAATGCGCGGCCCCAGAGGTCCCGACCCATTCCAGCGGCACTGTTCTCTCCCGGGTGCACTTATGACGGTCCTCGGGCCCGATCACGCGCCCAGGCCTGAATGAGGGAAGAATGCAGGATTAGAAAAAGCAAGCACGTCTCCGGGGATCTGGGGATGTGGCTCCCGCCCTCGATGGTCAGGCTTCGGGTTGCGCACAGACAGCCCCCCAGGTAGTCCCAGCTGGCCTTAACAACCCCTGGGGCGGCGGCGGCGGCGGTGGCGCGTGTTGAGGCCGCCCCAGGCTGCTCGCAGGACTACTCGACGGCCTCTCGCCCCCAAACGCCGTGTTCCTTCCAAACGAACTGGCGGTTTGGAAGAGAAGGGGAACCCGAGGAGACGCACACAATGGGTCGTCTTGACGCACCCCATGGAGGATGGACGACCGCCCATCGCACATCTCCAAGTTGAGCGCCGAGTTGCTCGGGGGGTTGTCTTTGCGCAGCCTTACAGTGGGGATCTTTTGCTTTGCGTGTCGCGCCGCGGCTTCTGGCCCACTACGCTTTGGCGCGACACGCTAGCCACGTCCCAATTCCCAGGCGTCAACATGCCGAGCCTTTCCCAGCCTGCCGCCCCGCAGAGCAGAACATCACGCCATCAGCTTGCAGGGCATCGCGTTTCGCTGGGGCCGCGACGCGCTAAGCAAAAGTTCCTGACCGTAAGCCTTGCGGACCCACGAGGTCACCAGCTGCGCGAAGGATTCGGGTGCCCGAAACGGGAGCGGAAAAAAGGGCACGATGACCAGCAGCCAATGTTACCTCAAGCCGACAGCGGCTGTTGTTTGGCAGGCGGCCTTCTGTCTCAAGTGGACAACGCCCGCTGCGACGCCGTCATCGAACCCTCCCCCCGTCCTCCTCCTCCTCCTCCTCCTCCTCCTCCTCCTCCTCCTCCTCCCTCCTCCTCCTCCTCGTCCTCCTCGTCCTCTGTTCAAGATGGACAGGAACTGATACCGCTCTTTGCAACCATTCTTTGCGTACGGTGGGTTCGTGTGGCGTCGGCGCGCCCGCGACGCTTTTTGCGAAGGCGTTCGAGGTTGCACTCTGCTTGTTGCGGCACCGGGCGCGCGCGGGAGCACCGCACGGCAGAACGACGCGGAGGCACCGAGGGACGCGCAGCGCCGCTGGACCCGACGGAAGTCAGCCGCGAACGATCGGGGTCGCGATCGATTCAAGGCTGAACGCTCGACGCGGTGTCAGGAAGCTTAGCGCGCGCCGGTGCCGCACGAACCTGCCGTACCTACATGTATCAGACATCTCAAGGAAGAGGCATCAATTTCCATGGACTCCAGATTTGGTTCAAGAAAAGCAAGAATGTGGACTGAACCCTGGGAGTTGCCTTGGAGTTTCTCTTCTTAGTAGAATGTTGGTATATGTGGACCTGGACTACTGGTTCAGAAGACGCTTCGAGTGAAGTCCGCTTTCGCGGCCGAAGATTGTCCCGATTCTGCGCAGGGGTGTACCAATTTCGACCGCACCGAAAGGAGGCCAGCTTCTCCACGATCGCCCGGCAGGCCGCCCGGGAGGCGATGTTCCGCCAGCTGTTCGGCGCCTGGCGGGCGCACGCGGGCGGGTGCGCCTCCGCCCGCGCGCAGGCCGCGGCGCGGCGCGCCGAGGCGCTGGGGGCAACGTCAGGCAGAGGATTGCCAGCTTGGAATATTTCCCTTACTCTTAAGTCGGGCATGTCCCTCTACAGGAGGAGCATTCAATGATACCAGAGAAAACACCCAATCATAATCTATGTTAGGGCTATAGGGCCATGAGGCTATAGGGCTAGAAGGCTATAGGGCTAGAAGGCTATAGGACTATATGGGCGATAGGGCTATAGAGCTATAGGGCTAAAGGGCTATAGGGCTATAGAGCTATGGGGGTTTGGGGCTGTAGGGCTATAGGGCTATAGGGCTATAAGGCTATAGAGCTATGGGGCTATAGGGCTATAGGGCTATTGGGCTATCGGGCTATAGGGCTATAGGGCTATAGGGCTATAGGGCTATAGAGCACCAGGGCACCCCGTCACCCGGGCACCCCCGGGGAACCTCCAGGACCTGGACACTTCCGGGCACCCCCGGGCACCCGGGCAACCCCGGGCACCCCCGGGCACCCCCGGGCACCCCCGGGCACCCGGGCACCCGGGCACCCGGGCTGGCCACCGAAATCGGCGACCCACCTCACCTAACCATCTGATACGGGAGAAAGGCCCCAATCATATTTTTGAGGAATATAGGGCTATGGGGCTATAGGGCTATAGGGCTACAAGTTTATAGGGCTATAAGGCTATATGGGGTATAGGGCTATTAGGGCTATAGGGCTATGGGGCTATAGGGCTATCGGGCTATAGGGCTATGGGGCGGCTATAGGGCTATCGGGCTATAGGGCTATAGAGCTATAGGACTAGAGGGCTATAGGGCTAGAGGGCCATGTAGGGCTACCGGCTGCCGTGTACCCGGGCACCTGGGCACCCCCGGGCACCCCCGGGCACCCCCGGGCACCCCCGGGCACCCCCGGGCACCAGGGCACCCCCGGGGCACCCGGACACCCGGGCACCTGGGCCCGCCGACACAATTCATTGTCGATTCCAAAGAAAATGTGGGAAAATATGGGATTGGGGAGGAAGACAAAAACCCAGAAAAATATGGGAAAATATGGAACATCTTTTTCTTTGTGTGTATTTACTTGTGTGGTTTACTTGTGTGGTCCATGGCCCCTTCACATATGAATCCGCAAGGACCCCTAAACTCTGATTGGGGAGTGAATCCGCTTGGACCCCTACAGAGGCAAGCTCTGATTGGGGAAGATAGTCAAGAGATAGTCTGGGGGCGATGTTTCCATTATTGCTTGACTGTTCTAGAATATCTGTTTTGAGTATTTTTGTTTTTCGTATCAAAGCCGCCTGTAGAGGGACATGCCCGACCGAACCCTATTCCTATGCTTGGCTTTCTAGGCCTCCCAGATGGGGTCGGAGTAGATGGGGTCGGAGGATCGCGCCGCATCGCCGATGCGGCGCGATGTGGGGCCCGATTTGCTTTACGTCGACGTCGCCGATGCATCGCCGACGTCGACAATGCATCGCCAGTGCATCACCGATGCATCGCCGATACATCGCCGATGTATCGGCGATGCAGCGCGATCCTCCGACCCCATCTACTCCGACCCCATCTAAGAGGCCTCTGGACATGACCTTACCTCGGTGCCAATCTTAGGGATTCCGTCTCTTTCTGAGGGCACATCCCCAAGATTGTCATCGCCTCTCCCTTGCCTATCTCAAGGGTAATTAGGAATAAGTTCGAGGCTAGTCAAAGGAGGAGAAGGTACCAATACAGCTAGCAGCTACCAGGGCAACGTTAGTCAGAGCAGGACAGGGTAACGACGACGACGTAGTCATAGTAGTAGTGCGACGACATCGGAAACGACGACTACGACGACGGAGAAGGCGGCGGCGACGACGACGACGACGACGACTGCCCCCGAGAGGTGTTTAATAATCCCCTCCGCGGCAGCGGCATGATAATTTGCGAGTTTTGTTGGGTGTACTAATCCTTCAACTAGCCTCCGGAAAAGTAATTATTTCCTTATTATTGCAAGGGTGGTCGTAAAGCAATTCTTGCGGTTGCCGATGCAGCTACCCTCGCCTCGTTTTCGCTTTTTCGGGGGCATCTTGGGAGGCCCTCGTCGCCACCGCTGGGTTCGCGTAGGAGTTCTGGTCAGAGCGCACCCTGGCAGAGGTTCAGAAAGTAGCGGTATTTGTATCTGTTGGTACCGAGGCTTTGCCTCCTCCCGGCCTCGTTCTGAGGCTGCGCCCCCCCCCCCCTTCTGCTCCCCCTCAATGGTTAATTCAAGCTTCGCGCGGCCCGTTTAGCTTCGACCGGAAGAGGTGCGCTCTCGACCCGCGACTCAAAACATTGTATCTGTTGGTACCGCCAGTTTGGGGGGAATAGGCTCGGGGGGATGCATCGACCCCCCATCGCCCATGGATCGCGACAGGGGCTTGACAGCTCCATTCAGCCGAGGAGGGTGTGGATCTGCTACCCAGGGCCTATCGCCGATCTGTCGGCGATGTATCGCCGATTCTGGATGGATGCTCCCCCCCTATTCCAATCCTCCCCTCTATTCCAATCCTCCCCCCCGATTCTGGGTCGATGCTCCCCCAATCCCCCCCTATTCCAATTTGTTGGTATCCCCAGTTCGGGGGGGATAGGCTCAGGGGGGGATGCGTCGACACCCAATCGCCCATGGGTCGCCGACACGGACATGATAGACCACCACGCCTAGGGTTGGGCGGAGTCGCTGTCGGGACCCATCGCCGATCTACTGGCGCTAATTCGGGCATGTCCTTCTACAGGAGGACTATTCAAAAATAGTTAAACAATAGTCTGGGGACGATTTTTCGATTATTCAATCGCTTCGCTCATTCCGCTGGCCCATATTGCCCTGCCACTTGGGGGCTGTGTTGGGGCCTCTTGGGGGCCTCTGGTAGGCAGTTTTGAGTCCCCTTGGATGCCTTGTTGGGGCATCTTGGGGCCTCTTGGGGGCCTTTTGAGGTCTTGGGGTGCCTCTTGGGGGCCCCTTGGGGCCTCTTGGGAACCTCTTGGGGCCTCCTGGGGGCATCTTGGGGCTGAAGGCTGGACTTTTCAGTTCCTGGTCCCCTTCTTGGGCCTCTCTTGGGGCCGTTTTGGAGCCCTCTTGGGCCATCTTGGGGGCCTCTGGGGCTGTCTTGGGGCCATCTTGGGCCGTCTGGGGGCCCTCTTGGATGCTTCTTGGGGCGGTCTTGGGGGCTTCTTGGGCCGTCTTGGAGCGTTGGAAAGCCGAGTGTGGGGACGATTTTTCGATCATTGTTCGGCTGGTCTGGGGCATTTGTTTTGACTTTTTTTTGTCCTTCTCCCAAAAATGCAGCTGTGGGAGGGCATGCCCGACCTACTGTTGGCGATGTATCGCCGATTCCAGGCCGATGTCCCCCTCTGCGACGGTCCCCCCCGAAGCGTCACCCTCGAGGTGGACCGCAGCATCGAGCGCTGGCGGAGGGACCGGGACGCGGCCGTGTGGAAGGCGGAGCTCCAGAGGACCGGGGGGGCAAGGCAAGCAGCAGCGTGCTCCCGGACGTCCGAAGGATCGTTTTTCTGCTCCATGCCAGGCAGGGTTGGGCCTACACGGCGTTTGGGCGATCTCGTGGGCCGTTTTCGTTTCGGTGTCGTTTTGCAGTAAAGGCGAATCGGAGACAGAGCGAGGGAAAACGAAAACAGAACGAAAACGGAAAACACCGTTCAGGTTCAGCCCTGAAAGAAAGCAGCAGCATGCTCCCAGACATCCGAAATATTGTTTGTCTGTTCCATGCCAGGCGTGTCTTTTTCTCGGGATCCGGAGCCTGCGAACATGGGCCCAGGGCAAGGACTACCCCAGGGAAAGGATCGACATTTCTGAGGCCGCTCGCTGACATGAACTCGGCGCGACCTCAGTTAGGTTTGTCTTTCCAAAGCGATTCAAAAGCTGTTCCGAGCAATGCGAAGCATTGGTTGGCGTTGCTTGGCGTCGACTGGCACTGCTTCGCAATACTTGGCGCTACTTGGCATGATACGCAGTATTGCCGAGCAGCGCCAAGCAATGCCAACGAGCACGAGCTTCTCTCACGAGCAAGCAAGAACATCTTAGGCCCGCACCACACGCGGAACGCCAGTATTCGGGGGTGGACAGAACCCCCAACAGTGACACGTCGATTAGCGAATTGTCCGTTTTCGGTTTTCGAGAGGGCGCCGTGGCCGTTATCTTCCAGGCTTGCGCCCGCCAGGTTTGGGCCTCAGGTCGCTTTCACTAAACCACGCTTTACTGAAGGGGGTCTGTCCATCGGGACCCTCGAAGTATAGCGAAGGACCGGCACGAACTCGCTTCGCCGGAGCCTCGGCTCGCCGAGGCTCGGGTCGCCAGGGCTCGCTTCGCCGGGGCTCGGTCCGCCCGACTCGCTTCGCCCAGCTCGTTGCGCCAGGGCTCGCTTCGCCGCGGCTCGCTTCGCTGGAGGCTCGTTGCGCCCGGGGCTCGTTTCGCCAGGGGCTCGCTTCGCCGGAGGCTCGTGTCGCCGGCCGAGGTTCGTTTCGCCGGAGGCGCGTTTCGCCGGAGGCTCGTTTCGCCGGGGCTTCGTTGCGCCGGAGGCTCGTTTCGACAGGGCTCGGGAAGGGTCCAGAGGGTGAGGAGGGAGCAGGCGGGCGGACCCTATGACGAGCGGGTCGGGTCAGGCGGGCGGACCCTGACGGGCGGGTCGGCTCGGGCAGGTGGGACGTATGACGCGTCATCGAGATAGCACGCGCGAGCCCTAACGGGCAGGTCGGGGCGGGCGGGTGGACCCTGACGGGCGGGTCGAGTCGGGCGGGCAGGACATTCAAGTAGGACGCATCATCGAGATATCACGCGCGCGAGCCCTGACGGACGGGTCGGGGCGGGCAGGCAGACCCTAACAGGCTGGTCGGGTCCGGCGGGCGGACCGTAACGGGCGGGTCGGCTCGGGCGGGCGGAGTTGGGCGAATCGAGACTCGGGCCAACTGAGCCAGGGCGAATCGAGCCAGGCGACTCGAGTCCCGGGTGAATCGAGCCAGGCGAATCGAGCCCCGAGCGGATCGAGACCTGGTCGCATCGAGCCCCGGTCAGATCGAGCCGGGCGAATCGAGCCCCAGTGAATCGAGCCGGGCGAATCGAACTTCGGGCGAACCGAGCCGGGCGATTCGACCTGGGGCGAATCGAGCCCGCCGAATCAAGCTGGGCGAATCGAGACTCGATCGAATCGAGCGGGGGCGAGTCGAGCTGGGCGAATCGAGCTAGGCGAATCGAGCTGGGCGAATCAGGCCGGGCGCATCGAAGGACCCTGCGCCAACGGGTCCCCTTCATGCGCAAACAGGTAAGACTGAGAACACCAAAGGCAAGGCCCGACGGGGAAAAATATCGCTTCGTTGTCACTGAGCGTGGGCTCTCGGAGGTCCGCGCGGGCTTCATCGGGGCGAGGCCGAGCCCCCCTGGCGGCCCGCCCGTTCGGCGGCCCGCCCTGTGGGTGAGCTTCGGCGCCGACCCAGGGAGCCCGAGCGGACCCCCGGCAGCGGAGCGGCCCGCGTGAGCCACCGCGTGAGGTCGCTGCGTCCTCGTGCGTAGGACCCCTGCCGTCGGCCGGAGCTGCCCGTCGCTGCCTCTTCCCTCAGGACTGAGGCTGCAGGAAAACAGAGAAAGACACACCATCGCAAGCAATCGCCACCGGCGGCTTTGGGACCCACCGTTCTGCGCCACCTTTCGTACGGGATCGATGTGAGGGCCCTGGGGCCCAGAAACGCCCGCTGTGAACAATCGGCGGCGGGCTAGGGGGGAATTGAGAAGGAGAAGGCCTCTTCAGATGGCGGCGAAACTTCTCAGAAGCCCTCGCGCCTTCCGAGAGGCTCTTTGCGCCTTCGGGGAGGGCTTCGACAACCTCCCCTGAGGCCAGGGTGATTTCCCAGCCTTCTGAGAAGGCCCGCCCCTTCTCACTCCCCCCCCCGGGCTCGCCGCCGAAGCGAGTGGCAGCACTCGGGCCTGAGGCTTCCCACCCCGCCAGACCCAGACATCCGACGCCGTGAGTTCCTCAAGACAGCTTCCCCGGAGGCCTGGACTTGCCCCCGGGGCCGGCTCTCCATCCCTAGCCGTTTTTTGACGGCCCGTGGGGCCCGGCGAGGCCCCCTCTCCATGTAGAGATTGCTCGTGCTTGTTGAGTGATAGAATGTTGTTAGGTTCATTAACGTGAGAGAAGGTGAGATACATGGTGTATGGTATGGTGGAAGTTGTTCGTAAGACGTATAGCTCGACTTCCTATCTCAGGGGTCCTCTGCTGGCGTTTCCCCTCAGCGGTTTGCAAACCGCGTAATTCCAACAAGTTTAGCAGCCCGCGTCCGGTCCCCCAACGGCTTCTCTTCTCCTGTCTCCCTATTGGCATCGCGCCCGCGAGCGCAATTTTGAGTTCAAGTTGGGTTGTGAGCTGTTCGGGGTCCGCTGCCGCGATGCACGGCGATTTGCAGGCCCAGACAGAGGCTTCAGTCGCTGTGGTGAAGAGCTTCCCTATGAGACACTCCCATGCACAGAAGGACAGTTTGCTGGCAGTCTTCGCACAAAACCGACTTCGGTCACCAGCGCAGTGCCTGCGATCATGCAGAAGCTAACCCTGGGCAAGTGGGCCGAGGCCGACCACAACGCCGTGGTGGACGCAGTGAGTGGCATGGTGTCGGCGGGGCCTTCGGCTGACATTGGTTGTGAGAATGGCTCGTTTCAACAAGATTTCCAGAGTTTAGTTTGCTTTGCTACGTCGTCTCAATGGAAGAAGCTGTGCGATGAAGACCAGGACAGCCTCGCATTCTTGTGCCACACCATGCAGTCCCTTGCCTGCCGCAGCCCTTGCGAAAAGACATCCAACATTGCAGCAGTAACGTTGGTGTTGGTTTCTGACCTTTGGGAAGAAGTTCAGACGATGCATTCCGGCATCTGGCAGCCAATGTACGACGTCACGAAAGCCGCTGGAGGACTTTTCTCATGGGCGTGTCCTTTTTGTTCAAGCACTTGCCCAATACGCCCGCTGAGTTTAAAGAGAAGCACCCACGCTTCTACAGTGAGTTGTGCAATGATGAAGGTCCTACGACATGCCCCGTCACTGCCGCGCAGATCGATTTCGTAAAAACAGCGGTTCTCTGCAATGGTGCGAAGCAGCAGGGCGCAGGGCCCAGCGGTGCTGGCGCTGGCCAAAGGCTCGCCACCGCAGGTGGCACTGGTTTCGATCAGTTCGCGAACGCGTTGGGCCACGCGGTGAAGCAGGTCATTGATAGCCAGTCCAAGATCTTCGAGCTCATCACTGGCAACAGGAGCGGCCCGTCGGCCCCCGACCTCTTGCAACTTGGGGATCTTCGGCCAGGATCGTAGCCAGCAGAGTCAACCATGCGGCAAACGCAATGGAATGCTCGAGATTGGCGCTGGCGGGCTCGGGAGCGCGATGTCGGCCGCGCCCCTCTCAGCAGGAACCGCTGCCGACCTCTCGGCAGGAGCCGCGCGCCGTCGGGGGGGTGGGGGGCGGCGGCGACCATCTGCCATCAGGTGTCATATGCGTCCAGCTTCGCACGCGCAAGCAACCGCCCTCCCGCGATGCCAAATGACCGCCGACATGACCGCGCATCGATCGCCGCGGCTTTCAGCCTGTCTGCCGGGCGGCGCCCGCTGCCAGGATCGTGGCTTGCCGGTGCAGGGCGCGCCCGGTGGTTCGAGCGAGGTCGACGGCGCGCGTCGCGTAACCATCGTTATCCCTATGAGCGGTTCTGGCGAAATCGGGCGGGAGGCTGGGCGCGGCCGCGGGCCGCCAGACCTTCGGGGGCCTGCGGCGGAGCGCGTTCCAGCTGCAAGCGCGGGCTCCGCTACAAGTTCGGGCCCTCCGGCGCCCCGACCTGACTCGTTCAAGCGCGCCGTCAGTGACGCCGAGCTGGGCGAGCTGAGGGCAGGGCAGGAAGTGGCCGAGGAGCTCGGGCCCAAATGGGGGGGGCGCGGGCCTGCGCCAATTGGTGCAGTAGATGCGCGGCGCGAGCAGAAATGGCGCAAGGGCGCTGGTCGACGGGGAAGCAGCGGCGGGCGCAGCGAGGAGTGTTACGCGGAGTGGTGCAATATGTTCTACGTGGTCAAGCGCGACTACGAGCTGCCGGAGCCCCACCAGAAGCACAGGTTCAAGCTTGTGCCGCCGAAGTAGCGCGACGCCGCGCGGCGCCGCTGAGCTGGGCCGCAGCGCGCGCGGATGCCCCTGCAGGTCGGCTGCTGGCGCGACGGGTTTATCCATGCTCTTCGGGGCCGAAGGGGGGTGATGGGACTGAGCGGGGTTGGCGCGCGGGGGTCTGGATCGAGACTGACCGGCGGCCGCGGGATCGAGAGGGGGCGGCGAGGGGGCCCGGCCTCGGCGGCGGCGAGGGGGGCGAAAGGGGGCGGCGAGGAGGCGGCGAAAAAGGCCCTCGCGTGACACTTATTGGCAGTCATTCGGGCATGTATGTGGGTGTTGTTTGGTTCGAGACATCCGCTGGCTGCGCAGTTGCCC